TTTCTTTTGTAAGAGAAAGGCACTTAGGTCATTTCTTCCATATTATAGTAGATTTAAATTAAGAGGGAACAGAACACTCCCATAGGAAATCTGTGTGCAGAAGTGACTGGTAAGCACAGTGAAACAAATGTGAGCTTCCTTCTGACTACATGAAATCCCAGTCTGGTGGTAATGATGGTGATGGTGGGGAGGTCAGAGCTATAAATTTAATGTAATATGAAATAAAATCAATTTCTGCAAAGCAGAAAGCAGCGATTGTGTCCTCACACATGTGAAAGTACTGTGTACAGATTTACACTGTGGATAGTCTACTAACATGAATAGACTGGTAATTGAAAGTAAAACAAGGAAAGAAAAAAATTCTAAAACAATTCAAACTAAGAAAAATTCAGACTTCCGATTGTTAGGAGCTGTCACTCCTGGCTTCTAATGGGATCTCATAGGACTCTATCATCACTGAGTTAGTGAGGCTGCCTTTTCAGTGCTTTGTATTTGACATTATTTGACCACTTTGTGACTCTTCTAGATTCTCAGTACCAAAATGAAATTTAGTCGTTTATCTATTGAAAACCAATAGAACTTGTTTCTTTCTTTTTTAGGGAAGCTTGGAGGTTTCTATAAAGAGACATAAGGGAACTATGTAAGCACAATGCACTTGGTGATCATTTTATATGCAACTACACAAGCAATACAGGATTTCTCACCCATGTAGGCCCCCAGAGAAATTTTCTCTGAAGCAAACAAATTCAGCATGTGCTGTGAATGGGGTTGGGGAGGGAATAAAAGATCGTTGATCTGGAATGTGTTTTGCCAATGATGGGGTTCTCATGTTAGGACCCAGGAGCTAAGGTTTCTGCCAGATCTGGTCATTGCTATACAAAAACATGGCAGTAGGGGCTTGCAAAACCTGGCAATAGAAGGATGCGCATATGGCAGTAGAAATCTGTCATCAGAGTTCATTCAGTGAAAAGTCATAGCTCAGCAAGTGCATATAAAAACGACCCCAGGAACTGTGTAGCATCTTTGAGGGTCCTACAGTCAACCACCCAGCTGTGCATCCTTGCTACTCTATGCCTCTGGTTCTCTAGCTTCCATCATGGTTGCCAACTTTGCCTTTCTGTTTCATCTTTAGTATGTTTATTTTGAAAGTATCTTCTGGAAATAATCTTTCTACATCACGGCAGACCAAGAATCAGAGAAAGAAAGCTGAAATCAGTGGTAATAAAACCTTCAAAGGCTTCCCTCCCTCTCCCCTGAGACATACTTCCTCCAGCCATGTTCTACCTGCTAAAGGCTACACAGTCTTCCAAGATTACACCACAGGTTAGTGGCCAAGATTGTGAGCTTGTAATGACACATGTCAGATTTAAACCATAATGAGAACCAATGAGCCGTTGCAGGAGGAGTGACCATAGTTTCATATGTTCTTGCAAAGCAATCACCAAATGTTTGTTTGCTAAGGAAGGGAGACATCGACCCACAAATACAGTTATGTTTTATTTTCTTATTGAAGTAGACAGGGAAGAATTACATACCAAGCCACATACCCAGAGTAAAATAATTGCTAAATCTCTCCAAATAAGTTTAAAATGTCTTTCAGTAAAATCATTGCTCAGAACTATCATCAATACAATGTATTGCAATTTCATTGGTAAGATTTTTTTTCTCTTACTGGTAAATTAAATGGAGTGACTTTCTCTAGTTTCTATTAAGGTAAAGATCCTGCAGAATACTTTCATGTGAAACATTACTTGCAGCAGATCTGATCTTTCCTCGATGTTCCATCCAATCTAGAGATGGAAGAGAAGCAAGCTGCTCTGGTCAATAACCTCCGTCAATAAGGTGATAATTTGAGTTCTCATGAGTCTGTGCTCAGAGGATTATGGCATTTTCCTAGTCTATGCCACAGAAGACAGTTTTTCAGCTCCTTTGTCTTTCAGAAACATCTCTTGGGGTGAATGTAACACCAAATCTTAAGTTATTTCTGTTTCTTTTTTTCATATAAAAACTTAGAGAACTGGACATCCCTTGTATGGTTCTTATGTCATGGTATTTATTTCTCTGCAATGCCCCTTAGATTTTGCCCACATCTCTCCCTCTCTCATCTCCTCTCATCTCTCCTTTGTTTATCTCAGCATCACAAATATACCATTGGCTCTGAGGGGAAATAGGTAGCTAGAAGAGAAACCAGCTATCAGTGTGTTTTCACATGGCCAATCAAAGATTAGTGTTAGAAAATTATTTAAGCATTTATTTTTTTTACTAAATTAAAAGTTCTCAAGAATAACCACACAAAGCTCTCACACATTTATGTTTCATAAATATTTATTATCTTAGGCTTTCTGTAAGAAAAAAGAATAAAAATGAAAACAAATTGAATTTCTACTCACAATTACCAATTTGACAGCATTTTTTAAGGTTTTGGCATATTTGGAAAAGTGGCTTCTCCTCCAGTCTTGGGAAGGCCTGTCTGTGGTATGCCTGAGGTGGCAGCTGTGGAAGTGACAGAAATTTCCTTGGGTGGGAAATGATTCTGATGCACAACCACTCAGAAACCAGGGGAGTTCACTGGTCTTTGAGACTGATCATCATGGAATGAAACCAGAGGGATCTGGTTCACAGGCCCCAAGAGCCAAGGTCCAAGTTAGAGGCATCTAGTCAAGTCATTCACAAAGACTGTAATAACTCCATGCTCTTTTTAGGCTGAATATTCAGTGGAAAAAAAGAAGCATTACTCGGCCATTTCAAAAGAACATTTATTTTATTATTTGTGTGTGTACGTTATTTTATGTGTGTGTGTGTATGTGCACATTTGTGAGGTGCCCATGGAGGCCAAGAGAGGGTGTTAGATCCCCATGAGGTAGAGTTACAAGTGATCGTCTATGTGGGTACTGAGAACCAAACTTCAGTCCTTCGAAAATCCCAGGAAGTCTCCTGACCCCTAATGCATTTCTTCAGCCTTCGACCATTGTTTTATTAGAATCTCTCCCGGTGAAAGGTGTGAGTGCATTGTTGGCATTCATCTTAATAACTCACCATGCTACCTAGCACTTTGTGGCTATTCGACTAAAGCAGCTAGAGTTTCTCTCTGGATCTTAAGAAGGGGCTGGTAGGGGATGGGGAGATGGCTCAGAGGTTTAAAAACACTTGGTACTCTCCAGAGGATCTTGAATCTCAACACCCACATTGTGGCTCATCTGTAATTTCAGTTCCAGGAGATCTGACACCCTCTTCTGACCTCTGTGGGTGTCAGAGTGTGGTATGTACCAAGACATCACATTGCCCTCTGCTAATGTGCATGATTTATATGTATTATTTTAATACATCTATGCATTAGTTAAAATAAACTTTTTAATAGTCTTTTGTAGGTGGCAAAAAATCAAATTCAGCATTTGCCTTACTTCTCAAACTGTTTCGATGTTTCTTTTTTATCTCAGAGAATATCATCATCACCCACACAGTCTCCTAGGCAAGTCCCTAGGAATGGGCATATTCATTCTTTTCCATCCCCGTCCTCCAGCTCCGGCCAGCCACCAGTCCTCATCCATCTTAGTAATTCCGAACTTTACTAATTCTCCTGCCTGACCACTTGCCTTAGTCTGTTTCCCATTAGTGCAACAAAATATCTGAGTCTTGCTAACTTGGCAAAGAGGAGAGGTGTCTTTAAATCATAGTCCTTTAGGGTCAAGGACATGACACTGGCCTGGCCTGGACTCTAAAGAGACATCGTGGCAGATGAAATCCAAATGATGACAGCGTGTGCAAGGAGAGATCATCTGGCAAAACCGGAAGCCAGTGTGGGTGGGGAAGGGCCAGGTGTGCTTTTTTTTTTTTTTTTTTTAAACAGTCCTTTCTCAAAAACTAACCAGAGTTCCTCTAGATCAATCCCTTCCAGGCACAGCTCCCTCCATGACCTAATTTCTCCTCACTAGGCCTCACCAACTCCCAGCATCTCCATCTGGGAGCAAGATTCCTATGTGAACCCTTGAGGAAACCCCCAAACCATAGCCACACAGTTGTATCATTTTTCTCTGTTGTGTCTACTCCTGCATCAGTTCTGGCCCTCATCACCTTAGAAGAGCCTTCCAGCTGTTATAGTAAGGTTTGTTTGTTTGCTTGTTTCTATGCAGTTTGGGGGACTGAACCTAGGACTTCATGCATAGTAGGAATGCACTCTGCCACTAGGCTACCATGTCCTACAGATTTTGCTCCAATTTCTGATATGTGTTCCATTAACTATACTACTATGAAGGTTATCTTTCTAAATGTGATCTGCCTAACACCTTGTAATAGTGCTATACCATCTTAAACATCTCCCTTTCTGGAATCAACTGGGTGCTCCTTTACATTTGCAGGGCAGTTCCCCGTCTTGCTATTTTGCTCTTTGTTTATTCATATTGTTAATATTAGTTCAATAAGCTCAGGGAAACAGTGAGGGAGTGCATTAGAATGCTGTCATCTCCTCTGCTTCCATAGGACTATGTGCATAACTTCACCAAGGCACTAGACATAAAGCATGCGAATTTTTGTTGTATGTGTCTCTCTCTTTCACTATACATTAAACTTCTTGGAGAAAGAAATACTCCCCACCCCAGTGTAATTGATTTTAAATACACCAGGAAAAAAAACCCCACCTATGAATTCCTCCAGTGGGGGAGTCAGTCTCTAGTTGAGGCCTGGGGTGGGGTGGGGTGGGGTGGGATAGAGGTTATCTTCTTATTTTGGAATCTTCAGGCCAGGTATGGTCTCTGTTGCTTAGCAGGTACTCAGTAAATTGCTGCTTAATACAGACTGTGCATGTATGTAGTGTGTGTGTGTGTGTGTGTGTGTGTGTGTGTGTGTGTGTGTGTGGTACATGCATGTGAATATCTGAGTGCTCATGAGTGTGGAGGTTAGAGCAGGATGTCAGGTATCTTCCTCTACAGCTCTCTGCCTTTTCACCTTGAGACAGGGTCTTAGTTACTTCTCTATTGCTGTGACTGAACACTCAAGACCAAGGCAACTTTAAAATAGTTTATTGGGGACTTACAGTTTCAGAGGGTGAATACATTTCCAAAATGGCAGGGAGCATGGCAGTTGTCAGGCACGGTGCTGGAGCAGTAGCTGAGTACTCACGTCTCTGACAACAGCCATGTGACAGAGTGTGGAGGGAGAGCTAACCTGAAATGGCTTGGGCTTTTGAAACCTCAAAGCCCATTCCCAGTGGCACACCTCCTCCAACAGGGCCACACCTCCTAATCCTTCCCAAATAGTTCCACCAACTGGGGACTAAGTAGTCAAATATATAAGCCTATTGGGGCCATTCTCATCCAAACCACCATGCAGGGTTTCTCACTGAGCCAGACACGCAGCATTTCAGCTGAACTGGCAGGCCAAGGAGCCCTTGGGATTCACTTGTCTCCAACTTTCAGTGTGGAGTTATAGGCTCCCAAAACCATGCTGGGCTTCTCATGTATGTGCTGGGGATTTGACCTCATGGCAAGCTCCCTTATACTAAGACATTTCCCTGGCTCCTCAATACAGAACTTGAAAAATTATTCTCTCTCACATCTAGCAACTTGGCCCTTGTCTTCCCTTGTCTATATTTGTTAAACTGTTTTCCCTCTTAAGATGACTTCACCTAAAAACAAAATAAGAAATCATTTATCTACCCTTGCTCTTTTGCCTTAACCCCACCTTTAAAAAAAATGAAATACGACAGTCAATTTCTACAACACATTGAAAGTTAACTTTTACTCCACCATTCCCATGAAATTGTTCTTATCAGTGACATCAATTGCTTCCTAATTACGAAAGTCAAGCTTTATCTTCAGGACTTCAAAATGTTGACATCCTGAAAATCCTTCTTAATTTAGCTTTTGTAATATCATGTCTCCTGGGCTACATCTTCTCTGAATACTGATCAGCTATAACCTGCCATTGCCTAGATATTGGTATCCCAAGGGGTCTTCATCAATTCCCCCATTTCTTATTTTCCTTCTGTAATTTCAGCCAATTCCATATCTTTCACAATTACTTTCATATGCAGTGGACCCAAATTTTGACCTCTTGAACTCTATTTACAATGTGTAATAACTCCTGAGGCTCATAATCTCCTCAAACTTTACGTGTTAAAATTGAATTAAGTTTCTTTGCTCAAGTATGACCCCTTTTATATTTCTTATGCCAGTGAGTTAACAGTCGTGTCAGTATAGTGACAACTTACTATACTAAAATACATAATAAATCATCTTTACAGAAAAAAGTTATCTTTGATATATTACCAGGAGGGTTTTATATGAATTAATCAGTGCATAACAAATCACCACATGGTTTGCATTTAAAGCAGAATATGGTTATTATTGCACAGTTTCTGTGGGGCAAGCATCCATCTTCCCTGGTACCTCTGATCAGAGTATGTCATGACTGCCATCAAGGTGGTGGTTGGGCTAGAGAGTACATATGTTACTCACAGCTGCTACCTCAGTGGTGGCTGGGCTAGATTCCGAGAGGCTCTCGGGGTCAGAGGCCTGCTGAGATGTAACACAGTTATAGGAGAGACTATCCTATCACCTTGTCCTATTATGTAAGCTAGAAACAAGCTTCAGGTCCCACACTCCACCACTCAAGGGGTAGGACCTTTTTCCAGGGCATGGGTCACTGGAAGTCACCTAAGCTGCCTATGATGGCTTAATTCAAAAGTATATATGGATAATGGGAAAAAACAATACATGCTTATAATTTGGACAATACAAGGCTTACTACAAAAAGAAAAACAGATTTTTTAAATTATAAAAAGCTTCATTTAAGGGAGGTGATGCACATTAGAAAGGCATCTTTCCATACTTATTCTGTCTATACTTACTGCCTTAGATAGTAGATGTAACTGTGTCTCTAAACAGGAAAACCCAACTACACTCCAATGAAAGCCTAAATTTAATTATGTAACTGGATGAAGAACCATCCTATTATGTGTTAGCATCTTTTGTATTGAGAAGAGAAATACAATGTGGCAGTTTAAATAGCAAATGACCCCCATAGGCTCAGGTATTTGAATGCTGGGTCCCAAGTTGGGAGTGCTGTTTCAGGAGGTTATGGAACCCTTCGGAGGTGGAGCCTTGGTAAAGGAAGTGCATCAGTGGAGGTGGGTTTTGTGGCTTTCTAGCCTTACTGGCTTTCTGGCTCTCTCTGCTTCCCCTCTGAGAATGAAAATCAGGAAATTCCTGTTTCTGCTGCCATGCTTTCTCTGCTAGTTACCACGTGTTCCCTGTAAGCATAGACTCTATGCCTCTGGGACCATAAACCAAAATAAATCCTTTCTCCCGTAAATTGCTTATGTCAGAGTGTTTTATCACAACAGATAGGTAACTAATATATTCAAGTCAATTTTTGTTTGCTTGTTTTTGTTTTTTGGAACAGGGTTTCTTTGTGTAGCCCTGGCTGTCCTGGAACTCACTCTGTAGCCCAGGCTGGCTTCAAACTCACAGAGATCCACCTGCCTCTGCCTCCCAAGTGCTGGGATTGAAGGTGTGTGCTACCTCCTCCCAGTTTAAATTATTGGTTTTCTTCAGTGTACGTTAGTTCAACTTTTCCTAGTAGTTTTAAAAAATATGTTTTTAATGTGATAGTTTTCTTTCAAGGTAGATCTTTCAGGCATCTGTTTCTAAAATTCCATTTATTTTTTATTTACTTACTTACTTACTGGGGGCATGAATGTGCCGTGGTATGTGGAGCAGACGGGGCTAGAACTCAGGCCATCAGGCTTGGCAGCATGTGCCTTTTACCTGCTGAGCCTTCTCACTGACCCCATTTACTGTTTTCTTACAGTCCCAAATCACATAGCTACAGAAGTTCCTTCATTCATAACTTTCCCTTCCTAGCCTCCTACACGCTCCGATATGAACTCTATGGTTTCTCTTTCTCACACACTTTAGGAAGACATCTTGGAGTTAATAGTTGTGAGGGCGTGGGAATGAGAACCCTGTCATTTTAGACCCTCCTTAGGGATAATGGTTTCACTGGTATTTAGTGAAACCCAGTATGCCGTGGTGGATTTCTCTTTCTGTTGACATTGGCGTTGCCGATCACACACAGTCCTAAGAGGTGGTGTCCATGTCTTTACAGATACGTGGTCACTTCTCTGCTTTCCCTCTCTTTTGCCTGGGCAAGCGCCACATTGATGCACTGCAGCCACTCTTCGGCATTCTTCTCGTCCTTGGCTTTGAAAACATAGGTCTTATTGTCTGTGAAGATCTCAAAAGCCCGAGGGAGAGAGCGATCCCGGCGTTTCTTAGCCACAGCTTTCACACTCTGTACTTTGCTGAGTTCTATTGGGGAGTCATCAGGATCATCTTTCTGAAATGAACAGAAAGGAAAGGTCACGGGATGGCTCCTGCTGCTGCCTAGGTTCACTGGCTCTTAGAATTTTCAAAGAGGGCTAGGTCCTTCACATCCTATGGCTTAAGACCTTTCTGTTGCTGGTGCAGAGGCACCTAGGAGTCCTTAGGAAAACAAAAGCCAAACACGTGGCCTTTAGTATAGTACCATAAGTCAACATAAGATAGCCAGTTTACCGGAAGTCATTATAAGTAAAATTAGGAAAATGTTTAATTCATGGTTCTTTGATTTTCTGTCACTTTCTATTTATATTAACACTATTAATAGAGCAAAAGACAGCAGCAGTGAAATATGGAATACTTTTATCTCAAAATTTCAGCTATTGGAGGAGGCATAATGTTGAGTTTTCCTTCCGCTACCTCTGGGAAAAATTGTGATCATTCTGAATTGAAAAACAGGATTCTACTTTCTGAGTAGCTTTTGGAATCTGCACTAGAAGCATGCACTGTCCATAAACATTATTACATTTGTGTTTTAGGAAAGCAGAGGTTTAGGGATCTCTGTGATACCAGAGTCATCACAGTGGGATAGCATGAATGGTTTTAGGATAATTAGAAATGTCTAAAAGCAAGGAAGAAATTTTGTCCACTGGGAAATGTGCCTGTGGTTGGATAACTTGCCAACTGTTCTTTCCCACTCCCTCTCTGACAGTCATCTCCCCCTGCCTTTCAATGAAAAAGCACTCTTCTTACTTATCACAAACTTTCTATTGTGTATGTCCAGCTTGGAAAAGTCTCCAGAACACTGAACAAAAGAAACCCACAATTCAACATATTGATGTTAGGGAAGTACTAACCAATCAAGACCACATAATTTTTTATATCAATTCCATTAGTACACAGCACCCCCTTTATTCTGTGTATCTGTGTGTGCATATGTGGAAGTCAGAGGCCAACATCAGAGGTCTCCTCTACACTCTCCACCTTATTCTTTTGAGACAGGCTCTCTCACTGAACCTAAAGTTCATCATCTTGGTTAAAATGACTGACCAGCAAGTGCCCGGGATCCACCTTTCCAGTCTCTGGGGTCAGAGACAAGAGTCATTGAGTCTGCTTTTACAGGAGTGCCAGGGATTCAAGTTCAAGTCTTTGTGCTTATGTAGCAAGCACTTTGCCCTCCCTGGTCTAGCATTTCCCTTTTTAATGTTTAATACTTATTTATTAAATATGGCATTATACTTAAATGTGTTCATAAATGATATAACTTAAAAAGAGAAGCCAATCAGAAAAATGAATACTCAGAAGTTGATCACAGAAGTAAAATAATTTATGAACATGATTTTCTTTATATTGGAAACTGATGGGGGAGGGGGACTAGAGGACTTTCTCAGTGATTAAGAGCATGTCCTGCTCCTGCTGAGGACCTGAGCTCAGCTCGCAGCACCCACGTCGGGATGCTTACAACCCCCGTAACTACAGTTCCAGGTGATCTACTGCCGTCTTCTGGCCTCCATGGGCACCTATACTTATGTGCACAAACCCTACCCAGACACCTACAATTAAAAATGAAAGAATTCTTACAAGTGATAGGGAGATTGAGATAAATAGCTAGGGAGAGGCAGACTAGAGATATGAGTTCAAGGGAAAGAGAAGCCATGCAAATATCTCCACGAACCATATTAACATATGCATTTTTAAAAAGATGGATGATATTGAATTAATGCGTGATGGTATTTTATTCTAGTAATGACATTTAAAGAGGAAATATATTCTTTTTATTACATGTCAGTATTTATAGCTCAACAGAAATTACAACTGATTAAACTTACGATAAATGTGTTGATGACATTTAAAACTTACAAGGTATTACATAGATTTTTTTTCCCCAAAAAAATTCTCTTAGGGACCACATAGGACAAAATCTTAAGCCATCTACACTATGTAGTTTATGCGCCTAATTTGGTTCACACTCAGTGTCTGATGATAATAAACTGTGTCGAGGTCTGTCTATAGCACAGAAACTGACGCACCATAGCCAATGGGGAATAGAGAGTTCCTGTAGCAAAGTAAGGAGAGCAGTGGGTCAGTTAAGATAGGAACACAGAGAGAACACTGCTGCCCAGCTGACGTGTGGAGATCAAGACCATAAGAATGTTAAAAATAGGCCGGGCGGTGGTGGTGCACGCCTTTAATCCCAGCACTCGGGAAGCAGAGCCAGGTGGATCTCTGTGAGTTTTAGGCCAGCCTGGGCTACAGAGTGAGTTCCAGGAAAAAGCACAAAGATACACAGAGAAACCCTGTCTCAAAAAACCAAAAAAAAAAAAAAAAAAAATGTTAGAAATACACTACACTTTGTGTCCTTCAGCCTGAGTTTTCATACGTCTCTATAAAAGAAAGTTAGTAAGGATATGACTGAATTTCACAGGATTGCTAGCCCTGGTGGGCTATCATATCCTTGTGACCAGAGGTATTTTGTTGTATATTATTTCCCACTATTGGAGACACATGTTCTGTCAGATTTCTACAATGCTAATTCCCTGATAAAGGCATCAAACAAGTTAGCTAATTATAAAATAGTTTATTCTTTAGAACTTAGTTAAAAGTTTAAAGTTGAGTTAAGATGTGTATAGATCATCATTTGCATACTTGGAAATAGTCTCTTAGACTAATTCTGTTTTTGTCTTAAGGGGTCTGAGAAACACTGTATCTTCCTGTCTATTCCTGAGTTCTTGAGTAAATATAGGAAATTCAGATGGCCATTTTAAACACTTAAAAATGCTTCAATGTGAGCTTATGCCAAAAAAACCCCATTTTTTAAAAAGTCCAGTTTAACTGTTTAAATTGAACATGCCTACATACTTATATTCTGAAAAGCTTTTTATCCAGAGAAAAGCCACCTCTGTATGACACAGACTGAGAAACTTACATAATTGCAAAGTATCACAAAAATGCTTTTTTTTTTAATTCAAAAAAATTTTGAGGGAGGTCTTATTAAAGAGATACTTGCTCAGGCTTCATCATAAGTCAGATGTGCTGTACTTGACTCTCAATACTTTAACGCCTTTAATTTGTTAATAAGACAATAGCTTAGTTTATATGATGGTTAAACATGTGGGTCAACCTGACTGAGCTAATGGGTCTCCAAATAGCTGTCACACCATGATTTCTGAGTGTGCCTGTATGTTTCCAGAAGAGACTAACATGTGAGTCAGAGGTGAAAAAGATTTGCCCCCACCGCTGTGGATGGCGTCATTCCAGTTATGCACCATAGAAGAAAATGACAGAGGAGGAGCAATCTGTGTTATCCTAAAGATCTTTTCAGAATGAAAATATAATGGCATGTTCAATGTAAACAGGCAGAACTCTGAATCTGAGGCCAGCCTGGGCTCCATAGTGAGATTGTTCCTTAAGAACACCATTACCACCACCACCACCACCTCCACCACCACCTCCACCACCTCCACCACCATAGCCACCATAGCCACCATAGCCACCACCACCACCACACCATTACCACCACCACCACCACACCATTACCATTACCACCATAGCCACCACCACCATCACCATTACCATTGCCACCACTACCATTACCACCACCGTTACCACCACCATGACTACACACTGGTGCCTATTGTGGTGGCACAACCTACTCCTAGCACTGTGGAGGCAGAGGCACTATGATCACCGTAAGTTCAAGGTCAGCCAATGCTCTATCATAAGACCCTGTCCCAACACCTCCCCTTATAGTGTCCATGTCTCGGGGAGCAGAGGCAGGAGCATAGCTTTACTGTCACGCTCAGCAGCCTGAGGAATTTTCCTGATCTCTTAGAGAACCTGAGTCAGCTCAAACTGGGACTCATGGGTTCTATAGGGCAGAGAATTTCAGGACTAGACAGTCTGATGCAGAGCTGTGTGGGATAAAGACGGGCTTAAGCATGAGGTACTCAGAAGGTAAGATACTCAAAAGCCCAGGTATGGGCTTCTGAGACTCACAACTGTGTTTTTACAATCGTCATCTGTGGTGGTTTGAATGAAAATAGCCCTCACAGGCTCGGAGACTGGCGGTACTAGGAGGTGTGATCTTGTTGGAGGAATTGGGCTCTTCCTAATGTCTGCTGATCCAGATGTAGAACTCTCAGCTACTTCTCCAACACCATGTCTGCCTGCATGCCAGCATGTTCCCTGACATAATGACAGTGGACTAACCTCTGAATGTAAGCCAGCCCCAGTTAAATGTTTTCTTTATAAGAGTTGCTGTGGTCATGGTGTCTCTTCACAGCAATAGAAACCCTATTAAGACATCATCTATAGGATTTTGGTGGGTTTTAAGAAAAAAAAAAAACCAAATCAAGTTTAAGACATGTCAAAAAACTCACAGATTTTCCTTTTTGAAACAGAAGTTGGTTTCCAGCCAATGTAAAATAACGCGTTTTCCACCTCTTGATGAACTTCCACCTGACTTGTTTCTCCTTAAGTTTTCCTTCAATGAGAGGCTGGCCATCTTGATTCACAACTGTGGAGGGGAACAGGACAATCCAGAATTTATTTCCCATTATTGATTTGGCAAGTGATCAAAAGTCAGAGTTGCAAAATGAACCAGATCCTGGTGAGCACATTTGGAAAGCGGCCAATGTGGCCGGAGACATCACTCAGTGGTTAAGAGTGCTTGCTGCTCTTGCAGACAGCCTGGGTTTGGCTTCCGGCATCTGTACCATGGCTCACAACCACCTGTAATTCCAGTTCCAGGGGATCAATGCCTTCTTCTGGCATCCGACAGCACATAGTACACATAAACTCACCCAGGCACACACAAATGCATTAATAAATGAAAAATTCAAAAAAAGTGCCAATAACTTGACAGTTTCATTACACTTTCCTGCTTTGTGCCAAAAAGATCATTTCAGACACAATAATGAGAAAGTGTGAAAGCCCCCAATTAGTTTTTTAAAGGTTTTATTTTCATTTTTAATTATATATGTGTATATGTTTGTGCAGATGATGCAGTGTCTGTAGAGGCCGGAGGAGAGCACCAAAGCTGCCTAATACAGGTAATATGTCCTCTGGAAGAGCAATGAGTGGTACTCTTAACTACTGAGCCATCCATTTCTTCAGCTCTCTTCGGTGAGATGTTTTAAAGGAATGAGGTCATAATAAGAGAGTCTAGTTAGCGGTATTTATGTTCTGACACCCAGCCCCCGTGTTTCTGGACTGCTTTATTCATAGTATTCTGTTCCTTAGATTAGATCGGAATGACCAAATTTGAAATTTTAGCCTAAAGTATTTAATAATGCCATAAGCTTATTTTCCATTGTTGATTCTGCCCATATCTAGGCAATAAAGCAATTCTCATGCTTCATGTTACACGAATTACTTACAACTAACCATAAACCAGTATTTAAGCTGTATTAAGCTGATCTTTTGTTTTTTGGCACACGTCTTCCCTTTCTCCTCTCCGCCATCCTCCAGTGTTTTAGTTTGCTTTCCTGTTGTGATAAACACTCTGACTGAAAGCAATCTGGGGAAGAAAGGGTTTTATTTTATCTTATGGGTTACAGTCTATCATCCATCAAAGGAAGCCATGGCAAGAACTCAAGCCAGAGCTTGAAGCAGAAACTGCAGAGAACCTCTGATTACTGGCTTTCTCAGTTTCAGCTACCTTTCTTCTATAGGCCAGGTTCACTCACCTAGGGATTACACAGTCCATGGTGGGCTGGGCCTTCCCAAATCAATCAACAAGCAAGAAAATATCCCACAGATATGTCTAATGGAAGAAATTTCTCAGTAGAGTCCCCTCTTCTCATGTGTGTCAAGATGATAACGGAGGTAGCCATTACCTCTAGTCAGCACTTGGCCATTTTTAACTTCAACTCAAAATACTTCTCCTGAGAATCTTTCCTCAAACCCAAGACAGAGTAGCCTCCATCTGTCTGCCCTCAGAGCTCATAGTGGTTCCTTCATGCCTGGCATCTTCACTCATGCACGGTTCTTGGTGCTTACCTATTTAATCCCTTTGTTCCCCATTCATCTGAAAGCTTTATGAGGGAGGGTCTTTGCTGTGTTTACCACTAAAATACCTGATAGCTCACACAGTGCGTAGCACGTAGTAGAGGAATCTATAAATGTATTAAATGAGTAGATTAATTATACACTAAAGTAGAGTAGATAATGATTACACATAGTCATGGAATTGTAAGGTCCACTAGAGTGTTAGAGGCTGAGAAGTTGTATTGAAGAATTTCTTTTCTCTTACCAACTTTGTAAGATTCGTTTTCAGATTTCTACAAAAGCATTTGCTTTAACAGGGAGGTACAATGGCAAACACCACTGAGAACAAGACAATAGTTACTGGCATTCCATTGCCCTCAACTTTCATAGCACTTTATAAACAAGAAAATTTGTTTTCTCCACTGCTTTAGAATTTAAAAAATGGACAGTGCACACTTGGCTATATGAACACAATCTGTCTTTTGCTAGCTTAACAAACTATGTCCAACATAAGATAATCAAATGTGTGGCTTTCATTAGCAAAGTTCTATTAAGGCTAGTTTGACATCCATTTCCCCTTTGGCTACTCAGTTGACTCTTCTATCAACTTAAAATCAAGGCTAAAAATAAAGATTATACATCATGTATATTAGGTAAAGGTAAGGACGGTGATGAATTTAGAATAAAGCATGACTTGGGGTTCGTGTCCGTATACTAAGTAGTCAGGAAAAGGCTTGGCCATTTGAAGGATGGTTGACCTGAGACCTCAGTGCTAAGAGGCTGGCCCGTCTCCTCAGAAGCTCCATGCAGCCCAGCACTAATGACAGGAGACAGGAGAAGCAGGAGCTCGGCACTCTTGTATAATATTAGAGGAACCAGCCTCAATAGTATGCATCCCAGGGGCTCGGGAGAGAGAACTACTAACGGCGAGGACTATTTTCAGGAAATAGACTCTCAGCACACCGAGCTCTATAGTCCATTTGCTTTAATTCCTCTGGCATAACATCCTTTATACACAGCTTCAGTTCTGTTCTCATGTCTAGCTTGTTCCTTGCCTGATTCCTCTCTATATTTATCTACTGTCCCCTCTAGGTTCTGTCTTAATTCCTTCATCTAGCTCTGTCCCTTCTAGGTTCTCATCTATCTAGTTCTTTCCCCTATCAGCTCCTCTCCCGTCTCCTTCTCTCTCATCTGGCTCTTCCTCATCTTGTTCTTCCCCATCTGGCTCTTCCTCATCTTCCATCTAGTTCCTCTAATCCTCTCTTTTAGCTCTTCAATCTAGTTCTTCCCCATCTCAGTTTGTTCCTCTCAAGTTCTTACCCATCTAGTTCTTCCATTCTCTTTTCTCTTCTCTGTCCCCTTGTGCCCTGCGAGTCCTGGTGTATATACACTTACAAGCAGTATTCCCTTAGCAGTGCAAAACCAGGCTTCCAGGGTCAAATGGAGGGGTGATAAGAATCACATAGGGAGGCAATAACCGTTAATTATCATTTGTAACCCCAAAGGGAAGTGACCAATGGGGAAATGAATTAACTAAAGGCTAAATTCAGGTAATATCTAAGAAGAGGGCTCTTATGTGCTCAACTATAATCTTAAATGTGATTGGTAGAAAGTGTTAATAATCTATAAGTTGCTAGGTCAATGGGAGAAAATAAAACTGTCTTCTTTTTTCCTGTGGCTCCTATCTGTCCAAGCTATCTGCTGTTTTTCTGCAGGGTGAGGGGAAGTGTGCTCAGTCACTAGGCAACCTGTACAGCTAGATGCCTCTGGTGATAGTTAAAGGGAGATCTGGAACTGGAGGTAAGGTTTGGGAAAGGAGGAAGTAAAGCTTAATTGGCACATCCGCCAGGCCTTCTCAAACAGGTAGTCTGGACACAAGTCTGTTCTTAGAGAGTACAGAGGTATCTCTGATAAGGTACTTTCCTCCATCTGGGGATGGACCTGGCCGGATGCTGCCAATGATGATAATTACAGGGAGGCTTGAACTGGGGTTCTGGCTGAGCATAGCTGTTAGCGCAGAAGGTTATCTAAATATTCCTAGAAGTGGTTAGGTAAGGAGTTAGAGGTCTATAAAGTTAGTAAGGCTTAAGAAAGGAGGGTCCGAGCTGAATTGTGTAAAGCTATTACTTAACGTCCACCTGACCTAGGCGGTGTCTCCTTGTGGAATTTTACCTTAAATCAGGAGACTTGCATGTAGACTGTTATTATTGCTAGTCCTTGAAAGTGGCCAAGGGAGATATCTGATTCCAGAGAAAGCCTTTCCTGAGGCAGTTCTCCAAATACTTGGAATGTGTATGTCCAGAGAGTGATCAGTCCACACTGTTAGCCCTTCTTAGGGAAAAGTCAATTGGGGAAGCTATGAAGGCACACATGATTTTCATAACAGAAGACAATTGATATATAACAAGCCAAGTAACAGCAAAAACTCCTTGGGATTTGGCTTCCTCTGGAGGAATTCCCTGATTCCTCCAGGTAGTGACCATAACCAGCTGAGTTCTTATGATATTCCTGCAGCCTGCAGCACAGCACATTAATTGACAATCAATATTAAGGAAGGCATTTGAGTATTCTGCTGTATTTTTTACTAGAAACCATCTGGATTGGAGGATTACTATAATAATGCTGTTCATAAATTTGAATTCTTCATAAACATTGTGGTTGCTTCTTTTGTGCCGCTCCATACCCAGCAGCAAAAACACCTACACACTGGGTCATGTAGTTCCAGGTTGGGAACAGAAGATCCAAGAAGGGAAAACACCAATGAAACAAAACCAACAAATCCCCTCCCAAAATGAAATGATTTAATGCAAAGCCTTCTAATAACAATGTGTTTTTCTTCTCCGTGTCTTTCAAGTAATATTTAAACCTATGGATCAACAGGATCTGCCACTGTATTTCTCCTCAAGGTAGAACCAAATGGTTTACTTGAAGGGCCTATTTGGTGAAGTTTATTACCTTGGTAACACTGCTGAAAGACAGGAGCCACTAGAGACACAACAGACAAAGCGTGATATCGACAAAACCGAGAGAGGGGCGACGTAAAACCATGGGTCTATCCGGAGCCAAGAGTGAAGGGCTTCAGAAATCTGCTGCTACCCCAAGGTCTCACTGGAGCCTAGTGAAAATTATCCTAGAGAGAAAGTCCATGGGAAGAATTTCAGGAAGGAAATGTTAGCAGAAGCTTACAATAGTTGAATGTTAGAAACCAAATTTAGGCATCACAGTCAGTGTCAGAGAATTCAGTAAGAGCCTAGTAATCAAGAGAAAGAAGGAAGAAGAGAAAGCAAGGGAGGAGGGGAGGGGGGAGGAAGGGAGGGGGGAGGAGGGGATTTAATTCTTTTCCAGTTGCTAACTCTTATAGACATTTTTGTTTACAATTGTGTATAGCTTATATATTATGTGACATATGCCATTATAATAAGTTTTTCACCCACAGTATTTTCTTATAAACAAGTAGAATGTGATAGTACTGTGTCTTTACAGCCAAAATTATGAACAAATTTTTCCTAAAGATTATCACATTTTATT